TCGAGCTGCTGATTTATTTTGTTTTGTACCTAGACAAGATATTCAACGAATTGACAGATAAATAAGAAAGAGTTGCAGAGGAAAAACTAATTGATGGTGAATCACAGAGTGATAAAGATGGATATGATCGATAGTGTACTTCAATAATACTCAAATGTTTTAAATTTCTACAGAACTTCAAAATAGGTTCATATACATTTCTATTATAGTTTTTCAATGATTCTATCTCAGTCCGTTCGTCATTATTTACGAGAGTAAGATGTGTAAGTTTTTGTTGAAAGATATATCGAAGAGATGATTCATCTAAATATGAAATAATAAATTATTCTATAACCTGTTCTATTTAACATCACTATTTATTGTTTTTTTTTCTTACTTGTAAAATAATTTAAGTCAATATCTTGCGTGAAATTAAAAAGTTTAAGTTCAGTTAGATTTGAATACTCAGCAGCAAGAAGAATACATTCCATTGAAAGTGGTTCAAGAGTAAAACATTTCACATTTTCATCAATTTTTGGCAATATAACCTTGCAAAATCGATCAAGTTTCTGTTGATCAATTGCAGAAACATTATCAATAGATACCAAATTGATAGTATCACTGAAGATTTTTTCTTGTGCTAGACTATTCAAATGGTCATTATTAACGTCGATAAATGAATAAAGAACATCAATATTGTTTAGTTTTTTCAAAATAAGCAGTAATATCTCGTCAGGTAAATTCAATAGATTAACATTCGATCGACTCATATTTTATTCTGACTATGACACTTTTCAAAAATAAAGGTATAATATATATTTATATCCATTGTTTGTTGATAACAGCTTTCGTCATTGTGGAAGAGAATAGATGAACTCGTTGAAAAAATGAAAGATCAATGATATATTAAATGGCGAATACACTTATGCATTTGGTGGCACTCATTTCTGAAATACTCCGATCACTTCTTCAGAGGGACTACTTAATATCAAAATGTGGCTTGACATAAGACAAATCATCTTGTGAAGTCAGATTTTTCGGTCTATTTTTTTTTCTCGGTAAAATTATTAATTAAGTAGACGAATAGGGAGTAATGAGACATGACAGCTAATAAGAATAGGGTATCATGTTATCATTGTTATATACATGCAAAATCAATAGCAGTGTTTCTAATGGCAAACGTACATAGCAGAAGCAAAATGTAAACAGTAACTGATGACCAATAGTAGTTCTAAAAAAAGTAACTATAGTATCCTCAAAAAGCCTACAGATATACCATTTGACAAATCTGGTCTATTTCGATATATTGAATTCAGTCAATAATTTTCAAAATCAGTTCAGAAGTGCTCTGTTTCATAAATATTGTTGCAATTATATGTTTAAATAAAAACTAACTATTCGTTTTTGTTTTTGATTGCTAGAATGCTTGCATACAAGCAATCATTGTTACTCTTTTGATCATGTTTATTTTGATTTGTCTCGGAGCTATACAGGATATTTTAACTGACCTAAAGAGAGCTCATCATAATGAATCAACTACTTTTCGTAATTCATTGAAGACTATTGCTGCACTCATTATCACTGTTCCTATGTTGATTTTCGGAGTAAGTATTCAACCTCATTTTTTTGTGTTCGTGATTTTCCTGCTATTTGTCTTCAGATAATCGTCATCGAATTGCAATTCAAATTAGCAAGATTGATTAATATTAGCACACAGTTACAATGGTGACAACCCATATAGCTGAATGATGGTGTAATTATATGATAATGCAACCTATTTCATGAACTTTAATGCATTATTTTGGAGGTAATACATTGTAATTCATTATGGGTGTGAGTGTGGGTGTGGTCGTGCGTGGTGAGGGTAGAGTGTGGTTGTTTTTATCGGTGAAACAAACAGCAGCACATATCGACACTCACACACGCACCTGCACGTTCACGCTCACACTCATACCCGAACTTGCTCATCCACGCCGATACTCTTCGATCAGCGGCTTTGTTGCTTTCGGAAAAAATAGAATTAGTCAATAAATGCTGAAGTTTAATTTCACTTAAAATATAATTTTCGTATGGTTGAATCCAAATTCAAAATAACATCTATTTTAAAAAGAGACTCTTTTCTTTCACCAACAGATTTCTCTTGCAAATCAGGTGTGACCAAATCAATCATACAGTCCCAACCAATTAGCCTTTTGCATGCTCATTTTGATCTGATTTCTAGGAAGTGGTAGTAGCTCGACAGTAGAAATGAATGTTTAAACTTGAGAAAGCTTGCATTTCTAATCACACTCTTACATACTGCTTGAAGATTTAAAACAGTTTCATCAACTCTCATTTCTTTCCGCCCACTACAGCTCAGATGTAACTCAGATATACCCGACTCCCGAATGATGATGACATAATGG